GAGATTAAATGTTTATTTTGTCCTCCACAGTTTACTACTGGATAATGTTTAAATAAACCTTGTGGGCTGCATCAGACTGCTCCATTTTGTTTGTATTTATTTTTGTCTTATATTAAGTATCCTGATATACATAATGTTATGCATAAACCCCATTTTAAAGGCATATTAAAATGTTCACTGTATAAGGAATAATTTTTGTGATTATTTATATAACATTATTACATATGTTATATAAAGCTGCCTTGAAGCATCAGAATCGGCATTTGTATCGGCTGATCACCATGACAAGAAATCGGTATTGGCTGCAAAAATCCTGATCGGAGCATCCATAAAATTTATTTCTGTTTTTTTTTTTAGAGAGAATGCATTAAATTGGTCAAAAGTGACATTTAAGACATTTATAAAGTTACCAAAGAAATTCAAGAAAGTTTATTTATTTAAAATTTAAGTCTTTGGCAACTTGAAAATGTCTTCATTGTCACTTTTGACAAATTTAATGCATTCTCACATGCATTTAATGCATTATATATATATTAGGGCTGTCAGTTTAACGTGTTAATTAATTAGTTATGAAAAAATAACACGATTAAAATATTTTAACACTATTAACGCACTGACCCCGCCCCCAGACCTGTATGTCATCTTACATTTCATATAGTTGACTGTTGACAAATATGATGCAGGACAACAACTCCATAAATGCAGTTATGCCCTAAAATTCAAGATATTGGTGCAAAAAATGCCCCTGTATGAGTTTTTGTCTCATATTTATATCATACGATAAGCAATATCCCATGAGCAGGGAGAGCAGTATTACTCGAGTGCTGATTTTGTCCCGAGTTTGTTCGATATTATGAGTTTAAATGTGATTTTATACAGCAGTTCAGTAAATAAGAAGCTGATATGGTGTTATATTTTAAACACAATGTTTGAGTGTGTTTTGCGTGTTTTGCCATATTACCTTTAGCCATAGCAGAATTGTTGCACATCTTTGAGCAAAACAGCGGGATTTAGTTTCTGAATGAATCAGCCGTTTGAAGGAATCGAATGAATAAATGACTCATAAAGACATTTACCACCACCTGCTGGCAGATTTAGTTTCTTATTTAGAGTTATAGTTTACCCAAAACAATTAACATTCTGTTATCGTTTACTCACCCTCATGTTGTTTCAAATCTTTCTTTTGTGGAACATAAAAGAATTGAAGACTTTTGGTAACAAAGCTGTTTTGGTTACCAATGATTTTTATTGTATGAACAAAAAATACTGATGTTTCTCAAATGATCTTCTTTAATGTTCCATAGTTTATGTTAGGCCGTTGTAGCCTAAATGTTTGTGTGTAATAAATTTCATGTTGAATCAAATAAAATATTTATTTCTAAAGCTACAATTTGTAATGTCTACTTGATACTTTCTCATTTAACACAAAAATAGCTTTAAATAATCTTTTATGGGTATTTTCATAGTCAAACTTATTTTGCGATTAATTAGATGAATTTATCGACACATCATGTAATTAATTAAGATTAAAAATGTAATCAACTGACAGCCGTAATATATTATATCTTACTGAACCCAAACTTTTGAATCATAGCGAATCATAGTGTGTGTTCAATTAAAAAAAGTCTAAACTCTGAAACCAGTGTTTCTTAGCCTGAAAAAGTGTAGAAGGGCAAGGAAACTGACATTACCGGCATGTTTTGTATTCATGAGGGGCTTCTTCAACAGCTAAACCAAGAGGACACTTTCCTATTACCTTTTTACTTGAGGGGGAGAACAAAGGTCCTTACACGAATCGTTTAACCCGACTGCTAGGACATGTGCAAGTGTGCATAGATTTGTCTTACACAGAAGCAGTATAAACAACACAGGATTTGTTGCATATGGGGTGGAACAGGAAGAACCATGGGAAATCAACATGGGTAATGAAGTAAATACACACATGGGTAAAAAGAGAGTGAACGAACATGACAATGTGCACCCGCACCGAATATCTCATGTACACAGAGGACGAGGCGGGTTTATCTGTTATTCATGGCATTCTCTCATTCAGCCGTTTTACCCCCGGGAACAGAGCGCTAAGTACAAATGAGCTTTGTACAAATGCTGTATCGGGAGCAGGAAGGAAATCAGTGCGGAGACTATAGATTGGTTTAATTATTTGCTGCGAGGTCCTTGAGCAATCCTTACTTTTCCACCAGGCTGCAACACGAGGTTCAGAGGCAACTGAGAAAGAACCACCATGTTTTAGTACCACTGGGGCAAAAGCCTCGACACAGTGGGAGCGTGAAAGGCAGGGTAGGATGGTACGGATATAAGGAATTACAGTTCTTGAGTACAAAAATCCCATCTGTAATGTGTTCTGAGGACCAACAACTTTACAGACCCTGGATTGGATCATTTATCTACTGTACTACTACTACTTTAAAGTCCCATTGGAAGTCCTGTAAAGTCTGTATGGGGTTCTTTCTTCTGTTGAACACAAAGGAAGATATTTTGAAGAATGTTGGTAACGGTTACCAGGTAACCAAACAGTTAACGGTAGCCATAGGAAAAAAATACTATGGAAGTCAATGGCTAATGTCAACTGCTTGTTTACCAACATTCTCCAAAAATATCCTCTTTAGTGTTCAACAGAAGAAAGAAACTCATACAGGTTTGGAACAAGTGGAGGGGGAGTAAATGATGACAGAAATTTCATTTTTGGGTGAACTATCCCTTTAAATTCAAGATCTTAATTTGTTACATTAAAGCAAGTGATCCCTTTATTGTCAAATCTGTTGTTTTTTGCATTAAGACATTTGAAATATGGTGTCTTTTTTTAAAAACATTTTCTATCTGTCTTAATTCAGCCCAGATCTTTTAAAAATAATATTTTGTCATTTTCTTAATGGCTTTGCGTTTAGGTACACCCCAAAAAGATTCTGCAATTATTTACTCACACCCTCAGGGCATTCTAAACCTGTATGACGGTCTTCCTATTTAAAAAAAAAAACAAAAAACTGAGACATCTTTCTTCTTCATATCATCTTTTATGTTCTGCAAAAATGGAAAGTCATGCATGGTTTAGACCAACATGAGGGTGAGTAAATTCTCATTTTCTGGTGAGCTAACCCTTTAAATCGAGAAAAAATAGCACTAAATAACATATAGATGTAAGAATCCACATCCATATCTCTGAATCCAAATGAAACAGCAAAGAGATTCCTCTTCCTAGAATGAAGGTGATGTGTAGTATTGAGCCACAAATGTAAGGCAGCCTGTGGGAGCAATTGCACTGACCCAGAGGCAAAGAATCTGAGAGAATTCGATATTGACTGCAATACCCTAGACGGCACAAGTAAATATGTGTAAAATGGAAATGTGAGTTAAAACCTTGCAATTACGAGGTTGTTCATGCATATTTCAAGCAGAAGGAGATGTTGAAAGCTGAGGGCAACCATCAGAGGCCCTGACTCACAGCGAGTCGCCATTTTTAAACAGAGAGCATGAGATGCTTGATGGAGGTCTCGACATAGAGCATGAACTACAGAAGGGGCCTGCTCATGTCAGTGATGCTATAACTATATTCAAATGAGGGAGGTGGAGCTTAAGTACAAGAGTTGCCCTCAGAGATTCCTGCCAGTCACAGGTTTAAAAAACAAATTGTTCAGTGTCATATCTCTGGTTGAGGTGTATAAACTTCACAGAAAACTTTTAAAAGTATGAATTTCTAATTTGCATATGCATACTGACCTTTTGAACAGAAAGGCCCATCGTAAGCAGTGGTGGAGCAGTCACAAGAATAGCCATTGTATTTCTCCACACACTTGCCGCCGTTACGGCAATACATCCCAAAACTGGTGCAGTGACCCGAACAGCCAGGTTTTACACCAGGAGTGACTTTTGCCCTCTCTTCTAAGTCAAGGGTCACACCGTTCATCTTCAGGGAGCGGATGCATCCGAGAAACCCTCTCTGACCTCCTGCTGCACCTGGATGAGAAATGGAGACAAAGACTAGTCAATATTACATTTAATAAAAGCATAAGTGGCCCAACAAAATGACTCAATCCTTAATTTCTATTGCAGACTAGCTTGAAAACAAAAGGTTAAATTTGAAACATTAAGTCTCAGCCAATAGTTGAACCTTCTGGTGGGTTTCATTAATTTTGGCATGTACCATTCAATACAATAGACCTTAGAGAAATTAGACATCATTAGAGCTCCACTTCCAGGAGAAAATAAACATTCGCCAATTGCTCAATGTCTTGTCTGGACATCTTTTCATTACACGAAACTGCCCAGTTAAACAGAAATCGTACAATTATTTGCTAGATTAATAGTAGATTAATAGTAAATGTTCTGGAAGGATGCATTCATTATCTACTAACGGTAAATAATAAAAACTGACCCACAAGTACAATCCTGCTAAAATTGATCAAGCTGCCAAATGAGGAAAGCTTTATCAATTCCTCCAAAGACATTATATGGATTGGAGTATATATATAGTAGATATATAAAGTAATAATGGCAGTTTGGCTATGCTTTACAAAAAAAGAACAGAAAACACATTTTCAAAGTTTTATAAACTCAATTGAACTCAAACTCACATCGACAGCTGAGTGTTAATTGCGCTGGTGACCTGCTTGGATATATAATACAAAACAACTCACTGAATTCTTTGCTAATAAACCTGAGAGCAGAGCTCTTATCATCAAATGTACAGTAAAATATGCTGTGCTATTTATAATACTTAAATGAAAGACACAATGTCTCATGTTTCAAGGACGAACATGAGATAAACACAAGATCATTTAAATTAACATTTCTATTTATTCCTCGTCGCAATATTGTTCCAATTTGATTCATGTCACTTAGCAGGCACTTTTTATGCCCTTGTTTGTCACTGAAGAATCAACTTCACAAAACTTTTTCATAAATACAGGATGTGTTTTAACTTTTGAAAGTGAAGCAGCATGAATAAGCTTGAGTGAGGAAAGAGCTGTTAAAACCCTTCTGAAGTTCACTGCCTCCATCTCTGATGAGCCCTGAATTGGAAATTATTCTCTAATGAAACTGTAATGAATTAGCATATTACATTTATTAGATCATCCTGCCCAGTGGAATATTTTTTTCTGCTTTTACCATTGCAGTGCACAGAATGTTTATAGCCTTATACTGAATTAAAAGGTCACCTGACCAAAATATCACAGACAGACAAGAAGTTTCAGGTTAAACTAGACTGTTTGTTGTCGTACATTTTACAAAAAAGTTACCTACTGTCCTGACAGGCCCATGAAGCTGACTTCCCTTTGGAGAGCCAATATCGCCCAGATGTGCAAGCAATGAAAGAAAGAAAACAACACCAAAAAAAATAAAAAATAAAAATATGAATAAAAAACATGCAGTGATTAGAAAACTTGATGCTTAATCAAGGCCAGGCTTCAAAAGAAAGTAAATCGCAAGAAGCAACTTGATGGTGGATAGTAAAGATTCATGCAAACAGACATATGCACATTAATACCATGAACGAATGCATTGTGTTAGTGGTTGTTAAATCAAAGGTCTGCTTGTTATTTGAGATGAAGCGAATGACAATCAAAAACGAGCAAGCATTTAATCCTCCATTAAATATAAAGAGGCCGCTATAAATGCAAAACAATTTCAAATAGACACAAGCATCCATGGGTGAACAGAAGTAGAGGGCAATCTGCTTTATCAATAAATGATGGCATGAGACTAAATGGTCTGAAAACTGAGCATTCATAAGCAGAGGAGAGGAGGCTTGACAGGTCCGGACAGGTCCACCCCAGCCCACTCAGCGGATATAAACCAATTAGTTTTCCAACTGAGGGTCAGGGTCTAAAGACTGAGAGTTGCTCTCCACGAACAGTCATGTCAACATTTTACATTTCTACTGAAACAACGGACAAGGATTAGACAACCTTTAACATTCATTTGGACTGCAAAGCTCATTACACCTAACCCTAGTGTGCATGATATTGAAATTGATATGCCAGTCCAACATTCTTCAGATCTAAGTCGAGAATAAGAATTACATTTTCATCTGCTGCATGGACAACATGCAAATGAGACCTAGAGAGGGTTATGGCTTGCAATATATTGAATATTAATACATGATTTTGCTGGTTGCACTATCCAACATACTGTCCCTACTGTTCACCACAAAATGAAAATGTACTGCATGATTTTTTACAAACACGCAGCTTTTCACTTCACAAGACGTTAACTGATAGACTGAAGTCCTGTCTTTATCAATAGGACAATATCTTTGGACTAGTTTCAAGATCAAAAATTCTAATAGTGTCTAATTTAAACTTAAAGTGAAAAAAATGCAGTTGGTAAGTTTAATTTATTTCCACAAATCAGTTCACACTGTCCATTAAAAAAAAAAAAAAATCAAAGCTCTAATCACATAAAAAATTTCAAAATTGTTTCATTAAAATTACATGTACACTCTTAAAAATAAAGGTGCTTCACGATGCCATAGAAGAACCTTTTTGTCTAAATGGTTCCATAAAGAACCTTTAACATCTGAAGAACCTTTCTGTTTCACAAAAGGTTCTTTGTGGCGAAAGAAGGTTCTTCAGATTACAAAAAGGTAAGAAAGAGATGGTTCTTTAAAGAACCTTTGACTGAATGGTTCTTTGTGGAATCAAAAATGGTTCTTCTATGGCATCGCTTGAAGAACCTCTTGAAGCACCTTTATTTTTAATAGAGTGTAGGTGAATATTGATGAGCACTGTTTTGTTATGCTGAAGAATATAAATGAAAATAATTAAACATTTTCCTTTAGCTAATTTAGAGAAAAACTAAATCTATATTAATTTTTCAGATGATATTTCATAGAAAAATGTATAATAATAAAAAGTAATAAAATAATACAATTAATAAAAAGTACAATAATTGTATGTTTGGTATTTTAAATAATAAATAATAAAAAAACAGTATAATATATTAAATAAATAAATAATTATATAGAATAATCAATTTAATTTTGTAATTTAATACAATTACCAAACATTAATAATAATAACAATAACAACAATAATAATATACATGTATATTTCCTGTTCTGGAGAATTCTGCTTTATAAAACCAATCAATAACTTTGATATCAATAAAAACTTATTGGAAACCTGGAAATTTTTCTTGACGTCAATCTTTAAATACACAAGCTAGACGAGCTTTCCAAAAGCTCTCTCAAGAGAGCCACAGGGGTGCATTATCTTCCCCTTTCTTAATGAGCGTCAAAGTCATTTGTTGAAAAGAATAAGTCAAAGCACAAAATAGCACAATGAAAGCCCAAAGCCATTCTGTTCAACAGATAATTGCCTCATGAGTGACACGGCTTGTTCGCACTTTTAAAGCCATAAAAAGATTCCTTGCTAATGTTAGCATAGCACACACAACACCATTATTAGTCACATTCCCTGCTGTGCCTAAAACATTTTTCGACCATATTCAGTCAAACCCATTTTCAACTTCCTTTTCTTTACAGTGGACTTTTTCATACTTTGGAGGCGAACAGGTTCCCCAGGGTTCCATGTCATTAAGTGTGAGTTTTAATAGCTACACCTGCATTTAGGCTGCTGACTATAAATACATTTTCACTTTCAGACACAAGAACATAGAGCGCTGTGCGCGAGAACTGCTGATTTCTCAAAAAAGGAAAAAGAGTGGGAAAAAGATAGAGAGAGACACAAGAACAGCTCAGAAAGGAGATATTCAGGAGGAATTGTGTATTTTATGAGAAAGATAATGAAGAAAAATATTTTCTAATTCATTTTAATCAGTAATAGATCTCATTTGATCAGATTTTCAAGAGTTGTGCAACCCATCAATAACATTACGAATGCCTACAAAAAACAACAGTACTCCAACCTCCAACAATATAACTAAGCATGAACAGGCTTCAGAACTCTAGGGGTGGGCGTATGGAAAAATGTGTTTTGCTGAAGTCCTCACCCACACGAGTCCATATATACGCTATACGTGGATGTACATGTGGTCCTTACCCACATAAAGCTGGCTGTAGAGCTCCAGGCGTGTGTGTCCCTGTGTAGGCGCAGGTCTGACCTCCTTGTATTTTTGGTCTAGTTGCAGAATGGCCTCTTTCGTGTTTCTCTCCGCACTGACCCGGTGCCACTGGTCATCGTTCAGCGGGGTAGGAGAGTGCACGTTCAGTTCCACCGGCCCGTTTCCTACATCGAATGAAAACGACACCACCGTGGGGGCTGTGAAGGAAAACAAACAGAAAGAGAGACCACTCAAACTATTATTTCAAACTTTCGCTGCTAGTTTTTCTGAATAAGAACATGTATAACAAACAGACAAACAAATTGAATTATTTTACATGAAAAAATATGAATATAAAAAAATGATGAAATAAATAAAATTAAGCTTTTATTAAAAATATAATAGACGAAGATCAAAGTGTTTGCTCAGGGTATATTTTAAAGAATGATTTAGCCAAAATTGAAAATTTGCTGAAAATGTACTCACCTTCAGGCCATCCAAAATGTAGATGAGTTTGTTTCTTCAACAGATTTGGAGAAATTTAGCATTACATCACTTGCTTACCAATAAATCCTCTGCAGTGAATGGGTGCCGTCAGAATGAGAGTTTATACAGCTGATAAAAGCATCATTAAAAAAAAAAAAGAAAAAAAAAAAAATCACAAAAAGTACTCCATATGACTCCAGTCCATCAGTTGTGTGTGTTTGCAATAATCAAATTCATCAAGACGTTTTTAACTTCAAACTCTTGCTTCTTGCTAAAATATTATGAGTCTGCTTTCTCCAGTAAAAAAGTAATCTTCTCTGAGGAGAAATGTGCACAGATCAAGCACTGTTTACAGTTCTGAAAACAAATATGTTGGTGGATTTTGATGTGAAAAGACAAGAGGGGATGAACTTTTCACTGGAGGAAGCGTCATTATGGATTATGAATTTATGGATTTGGGCCTGAAGCAATAGTTAAAAGTTAAAATGCCTTGATGACAGATTTGTTTCTTACAAACACAGACTTTCACTTCACAAGAAATGAACTGATGCGCTGGAGTCGTGTGGATTATTGTGATGTTTTTTTCAGCTGTTTGGCTCTCATTTTGACGGCACCCATTCACTGCAGAGGCTCCATTGGTGATGCTAAATTTCTCCAAATCTTTTCCAGTTTAGAAACAAACACATCTACATCTTGGATGGTTTGAGGGTGAGTAAAAAATTTTTTTTAGCAAATGTTAATTTTTGAGTGAACTATTCCTTTATTATGCATCCATTATATTAAAACTCTAGTTGATGGTGAAACATTATCTGTACTTACCTTTAACAGTTATTTTTTAAACTCACATTATAATTAGTAAGTAATTAATTCTTTATTTTTCTGTTGTTAGATTACGTGACTGCAAATTTACTTGAAATGTCAACCACAGGTCATTCAGCATGTTTAATTAAATTAATGTTCATATAATATTGTTTTACTCAATAACTGTTTTGCAGAACAACAATCCAAAGTTGTGACTTAAAATGCAGAATTACCAAACTCATCAGACTGCTTCGCTCAAGCACATCATTAAAATTCCTCTTAACAGCCCTAAACTGAGTTGGAGAGTGTTTATTCACCATGCTGAATTCATTTTAGGCCACAACAGCTTTTAATGAGTCAGTGTTGCATAATCTCCTCCATAAACAGTGAAGACTGACAGCTGTACTCCTGTAGGAGGAGATGGTATTTATGGCAAGAGAAAGGAGAAGAGAGGCAAGGTGTGTTTGAGCCATGACTGCTGTGGTGTGTCATGCTTAGCCCCAGAGGGCCAGGCCTCTTGGGGTTTAACCCTTGATAAATCCTGATTTAGAAACACCCGAGACACGTCACAGCAACAGTGCCATCATCCATGCTCAACCCAACGCTGTAGTGCGATTGTGTTTAAAGACTGCATAGTGTATCCAGTAATAAGCCACTATCTCATCTTATTCATGACGCCACATGATCATTTCCTAAAACTTCAGAAAGTTTTTAGTAAAGCTTCAGATGCTCAGACAGCGAGCTGGTGTCACACTTCAAGACACCTTTGAAATGTTTATGTACAACAAGCATTGCATTTATTACGGAGGAGTTTCTAGATTTATGGAGCGGTTGACTGGAGCTCATTTGATAGTCTGATAGTCAGCACAAACACCATACATCCTTACGGAGTATTTTAACTGTTTAAATCACATATATTTGTGAATCAACATCAAAGGATAACAGTCTCAGTTATTGAAGTTATTAAAACTACAAAAGTGCATTCAAATATATTTTCAGTGCAGAGCACACATATAAACAGCTCATTTACACATATGCATTAAGTATACACATAACACAATACTTTTATTCAGCAAGGATGCATTAAATTAATCAAAAGTGATAATAAAGACTTTCACATTGTTGTAAAAATTATATTTGAAATAAATGTGCTTCTTTTGACATTTTTATTTATCAAAGAATCAGAAAAAAATGCATCATGGTTTCCACAAAAATATTAAGCTGCACTTTGTTTTCAACATTGATAATACCTGTATTTTATTATTATTATTATTTTTTTTTTTTACAGCAAATCAGTATATTAGAATGATCATGTGACACTGAAGACTGGAGTAATGGCTGCTGAAAATTCAGCTTTGCCATCACAGGAATAAATTATATTTTAAAATATATCAGATTAGAAAAGTTTTTAATTTTTAATTCTAATTATATTTCACAATATTACTGTATTTTACTTGGTAAGCGTAAGAGACTTCTTTTAAAAACACTGACACAAATCGTTTGATTTGTATACAAAAATGACTTAAAATGCAGTGTGAAAACCTTAACACATTTTAAGTCCTGTATTTAATTTAGTTTGTTTCATAACATGGACTAAATTATTGGAATTTATTATTGGTTCGGTTCATTTTCACAAACTAAGGTTTCAAAACAGACCAAAATTTGTTAACACGAGTCACACACAAACTGTCCCATCATTGGTCAGAATGTTTTAAGGTTTAGCTCAGTTTAGTGACAACCTCAGAATTCAAAATTAAAATGAGGGCTTTCATGAATACTATATCACCAGAGGGGTAAATATGAATTCACAATTAACAATATGACACATACACGCTAATAAATGTGCTGCACAATTTAGACACTGAAGTAGAATTATTTAAAAGGACAAACCTGGCTTCTAGCCAAGCATGTTTCTAAATTCATTGGCCCAACCGGCTCCTTTCGGCAGGGGTTAATATGGCTGCACAGATGCTGAAGGCAAGAACTAAATTGGATCTGCTTTGTGCTGGCAGCACAGTGAGCCTGCAGTGATAGTCGGCTACTGCTATTGTCACCATCTTAGGAAGCTAAGAGAAGTGTTGTGATATGACACCAAGTACCTGGCAGCTGCAGGGAGACACACACACACACACACACACACACACACACACACACACAGGACTGTCCAAACACAAATCATTCGTGCCATTACGATCAGCATTTTCCTACAAATATCTGCTACTGTGAGCTGCCTGCAGTTAGTTTTATTTGTTATTTATGCCAAAATATAAAAAGGAGGTCTGTTTTCTGGTTTCTTATGGCTGGAGTGGCAGGTGTTCCTGCTGCTCTCAGTAGGGGGTGCTGTTTTACTGTGCTACATTCTGATGCAGATATCGCAGGAATTGGGGATAAGTGTTCGACTTCAACTGGCATCCACAGAGCCACCTGTTCATCTCAGATTCTGAACTGGAGGAGGAGATCTATGACACGGTCAGCCAACACTCTGAACTCTGTCTGTGAGCAAAGGCCCACTGCCATCAAAACAGCAGTTGTGGCCCATTTTAAGCTCAGTTATGAGCACACATGCTAACACAAGTAAGCATACGTTATATATTCAAGCTCAGTTATAAGGGAGTATTTTCAACTACAGGCACTTTTTGCCATGTAGCCATATGAAAATGATCGAAATGCACGAAACAAAACAAAACAAAATGAAACAAAAATCTAAACTAGAAAAAAACAAAAAAAAAACAAAAAAAAAAACAAAACAAACAAACGAAAATTTGTTACATTGGAAACAAATGTTTTTATTTTAAAATAAAACTATTAACTATATCAATTCCTTTGTCGTAATTATGTTTTGACTATATATATATATATATATATATATACAGTGGGTACGGAATATGAAGCAGCAGAGGGAAAATAGTATTTCTTAAATTTATCTAAATAGTTATCACAAAATATATATTAAAGCAGTTTATTAAAAAAAACTCACTCTTTGTTTAGAATATGTTAGTATTAACATTTAATTTTTTTTTATGATGGACTTAGTCTTAGTCATAGTCTAAGATTGAAATTGAAAAAGCAACAAAAAATGATGATGCCATGGTCAAAGATTTAATATGACCTTCATAAAACAGTAAAAAGTTTTTCAGTAAAAAACAAATCAACCCCTAGGAAATAAAAGTAACTAAAAATAATTTAATGATTTTTGATTATGATTTAACTTAATAAAAGGAAATAAGAAAATAACTATAAAAAAATTGAAAAGGTACTGATAATTTTCTGCCAGGACAGTTAAGTTTGCAGACACTTCCTTTAATCTTAAAACACAACGCAATGTGTGCTACAGGTAAAACACCTGTGAAAAATCAATATAGAAAATTCCTACATACAGTATTAACACAGTACATTGTGCCCTGTTTTCTTTTAGTGCAGAACAACACACTCACTACGTATATGTGGACAATGGACACTAAGCAAAATAAAAAAAAAAGAAAACAAAAGCGAGTAAGAAAAACATTTGGTGATTTAGCTCTCAGAAAACAAAAATTCAGCTCCACTGTGACAACACTAGATGCTACATGCTTCAACATAAACATTAACTAAAAGAACTAGCCAGTGACTTAATAAACACAGACCCAATCCTGTTACAGACCGTTTGTGAGAGAGAGACAGCAAAACACAGAGAAAGAGAGGATGAGAGGAAGAGGGCAGGTCTGGCAGGTGTTTAGTTTGGACTAGGGCTGCTCCACCATTCTCAGCCCTCTGATCCCTGTTATTGGATTTCCTGCACTTGGCCAGCCAGCACTGAGCATCAAGAGTGCGCCACTGTTCTTGGGGAGCGTTTTCGCTTCTGTGTGTGCTCGTTTATTTGTGTGGACCGCTCTGCTGTCCACAACTGAGGGCATTCAGTGGACCGCTGCCCTTGCATTCACAAGGAAAACTA